ATAATTTTATTTTTTTCATTTTTAATTTATCATTTTAAATATCATTCTATCTTAAAACTAACCCACTGATTTAACTTTGTTGTAAATTCTCAGTTTTAAGCTTAGTTGCAAGGCTTTCCCAGCACAAGCATACATTTGCTTAAAGGGAGAACCTGATCTACCATTGTTGAACCAAATTGAGAAATAAATAATTTTTTTTTTAAACTATGCAGTCCCCTCGAACTCTCTCCGTGATATACATACACCGTGGTGATGAACACATCATAGCAAAAAAACAATATTAACTGATTTTTATTTTTGAATTAATTAATGTATTTCGCTAGTTTAAAATTATGTTTTTACTAAAGTTCTTTGATAAAAAGAGTACAATCACCATCTGAAGTATGTACGATCATACTTTTTGTTATACTTATTTATAATGCTTATATCGTTTAAATTTTAATACGTCCGCTTCGCCTGTCGCTTCTATCGGAGATTGGTAAACATCACCAACTTTGCCTACCTATACCTTATAATGTAATGCCAGACGACCACACAAATTGCCTATATATGTAATTCCCTGTGTTATGAAAACAGAGCAACGGAATTCACCCTGGAGCACTTCTCTTAGAAAACTTACAAAATTTCAGGGTTGGTTTATAATGACAACAAAATTAAAAGACTGAGTCTCCGTTTACATTGTATTCAATCTGTCATTTTTATATTCAGTTGGGCAAATGCTTTGGTTAATTTTCTTTATTGTTTTGGCAGAAACGCGTAACGTCCAAATAATAACACGAGCACAATGGGGTGCAAGAGCGCCAAACAGCCGGACTACTCTTGCCACGCCAGTGCCGGAAGTTATCATCCACCACAGCTTCTCTCCGGGAGCATGTTGGTCTCAGTCGGCTTGTGCAACGGCGATGAGGTCTATGCAAAATCATCACATGAATACCAATGGTTGGGCTGACATTGGTTACAAGTAAGTAAAGGCACAGCACGCCGGATGTTCAATAGATTTTTGTGCTATCAAGTGTGTGAATAAATTTAAACAATGAAAAATATTATCGAAGAATGAACAGAGTCTAAGAGAAGATATAGTACTCAGCAGTGGTTGATAGGGGAGCGACGTAGATCTAAAGATGGAAGATAAACGCAATCACTCATATTGTGTGATGGTTTCAGTTTCGCAGTAGGCAGCGACGGTTTGGTATACGAAGGAAGAGGCTGGACTACACAAGGTGCACATGCTCCCGCCGTTAATAGCAGGAGCATCGGAATTTGTTTGATTGGAAACTGGAGTAGTAAGTGTACTCAATATAATATAGACCTCTCCCAAGACTCATCACTAAGTCTGTCTTTAGCACGCAGTCAGCCGTTCGAGACACCCAGCGCAGACCGTCACGCTCTCTGGTTCGATATTTTGACAATTATGATCATCTTCGAGTATTTTCTCTGGAGGCCTTCGTAAGGGTAGTCCTCGTAATATAACGTGCTTACATTGTTTCAGCTACTAGCCCACCAGCTGTACAACTGACTGCAACTCAAAACCTTATAAACATGGGAATGTCGAACGGTCGTATCCAACGTGCTCACTGGCTACGTGGACACCGGCAAGTTACGGCCACCGATTGCCCAGGGAACACCCTGTTCAATACCATTCGTTCATGGCCAAACTTCCGAGCTTAACTTGTACTGAACTTAATAAAGTGAGTTTTAAGTTTAGTTCTTTCAATTACATTTTGCTGGTGGTCGGGTACTCTGTGCAGAACCCGCTCGAGTAGATACCACCCCTATGCCTTATTCTACTAAAAAGCATCACTACTCTGCATTTTGCCAGGACCTTGACAGGACGAAACTAAAATGTACCAAAGTACTACATAGTTAAGCAACTAAAAGCAAACTACTTGACAGCGTCAAAACAAGAAGATTATTTTCTATAAATTGCGAAGTCGACACAATATTATGTTAACTAATTTCTGATCTTTTTTATTTTTTTCAGGTAATTGAAACATTGACATGTAATAAAAACAATTAACGACTTTTATTCTGCCCAGCAATCTAAACAAATAAAATCTAAACAAAGTCCGGTGTAAAATTAATTTGCAACTTTTTCTAAATTTAATTTTTGATATAAAATGTTTGGTATGTTTGTTATTTGGCACAAATTATGTATACAATCTGTACAAGTAATTACTGTTGTACTTATGTTTTGTAATTAAATATTGTGATAAGACAGAATAAAAGACTTCTATTGTGATTATTTGCATTACGATCTAGTTTGATTTGCATTACCTAGTGATATATTATTTACAATACAATACAAATATATATTTTTTGCACTTGTGTGTTCTTAATAACGAAGGATGTATGTACACCAACTTTTGAATCTAGTCAAGACAAGGGATTCTGGACATTACTTACTCTACAGCTAGACTAGTTGGATTTATAATCGGCTGGCATGTTACTGAAGAAAACTCAATGTCGGATCATAAATATGTAATAAAATTTGATCTGGGGGCAGAAGGAGCCTGCCACGCCACTACACTTAGGACTATGGCAGTACCTACAAGGGTGTCCTTAATCTATCAAAACCACACAGAGTGTCGAGTTGGCTATTGAGGTCACTACCAGGGGCATCATTACCTTTCTAATAGGTTCCGTGGTGGAACGCCAAGCTTAGAGAGAATACTCAAAAACTCTTCAATAGGGTCAAGCAAACAAAGGAATCGGAGACTTAATTTCACAAGCGAACAAAATACTGTTAAAAATAACACAGAACCGAATAAAACCAATAATATATAATTATTAATACAAAGATCGAACACTCAGAAAAAACACTCAGAAAAATTCCTTTGATCCGGTCGGATTCGAACCGACGACTTCTTGCATACCGTGCCAGACGCTATACCAACTAAGCCACGGAACGAACCAACGGACCTCACGAATTTTTCTATGTGCTTGCGTCGTGTCTTTGTACTTGGTCTTTCAACGACTTTTTAGTCGTAGCGCCATCTATGAGAAATCTATTGCAGATTTATCACCCAGTTAGTACCTTTACAGCTACCAGTCCTGGCGAGAGATGTCGCTATTGACTGTATTAATTAAATTTTTATTGAATTGATATTCAATTATTTTTTGTGAAATTAGTCCACTAGTTTGTTATAATTATTAATACAAAGATCGAACACTCAGAAAAATTCCTTTGATCCGGTCGGATTCGAACCGACGTCTTCTTGCATACCGTGCCAGACGCTATACCACCTAAGCCACGGAACGAACGAATAATAATTATAACAAACTAGTGGACTAATTTCACAAAAAATAATTGAATATCAATTCAATAAAAATTTAACCAATAATATATAATTATATAAGATATCATTTCTAAAGCCGTTGTGTCTAAAACCGTATTGGTCTGACCAATACGGTTTACACAAAATAGAAGCAAAAGATAAACTATTCTGGCGCTAAGATTAGTAGTGGGTCGACGGGTGGACCTAGTCCTTGATACACTCATGCTTTCATAGATCTATAGAAAGCTTTTGATAAGATTGATTGAAAGAAAATTATGTAAATATTGAAAGAAGCAGAGTTAGATTTTTAAATTTTTTTAAATAACACTAAGTGACGTGTCGAACAAGTCGTGTACCTGATTACAGGAATAGAAGAATAATTTACCAGCTCTACAGGAAACAAGAGACAATAATAGAAGTGGGAGAAGAAAGAGATTCGGCAAAGGTCAGACAAAGCAGTGGAGTCGCTTTGAAATTATTTTAATCCTACGTTACCAATCGTACTCAACGAGTTAAAATTGAAACTTCACCAGTGAGGAACTCCCAATCACTTATGGTATTCCCCAAGGAAGTATTCTGGGGTCCTTGTTTTTGATGTTAAATAATTTATGCCGAAGTAGGTTAATTAACGGTATAGTTATATCCTTTGCGGACGGCACAACACTTTCATTCCAAGCTGACTCTTGGCAGGAAGCTTTCCAGTGTGCTCAACTAGGGTTAAACATTGTTGTAAACTGACTAAACTGTAATTATCTAATAATCAACGCACAAAAAACACAGTGGATGCTATTTGGAGTGCGCTAAAACTCGTTGCCTACTTATAGTTTCACACTAATTGCACATGACTCCCCTGATAGCTGTGGTGGATGCTTGTGCCTTGCTATACAATTTGTTTTAGAGTTCAAATATCTGAGTATTACATAAAGTATTGACCAACATATAAATTTTAAAAGCCATATCCAGCTTATCTCAAACCGTGTCCGTTAATTAAGTTTTGCTTTCTCGGGCGCTCTAATGGGAAGGATCTGGGATCGACTTTGCGCACCGGAACCCCCCCCCCCCACACCTAAGAGGAGCTACGTTCTCTCCCTCCTCTCCTGACGACGAAGCGGACAACACCTCCCCGTCGTCCTTCTCGCGGCTGCCTAACTTACTGGCGAACGAAGCCCTCGCTCCGATCGCCCGCAGCCGCGAAGGTACGCCGCCGCCGAGCGGGATCGGCCCTCTTCCGATCACGCTCGGGAACCTCCTTCTGAAGCATCACCGCTTCACAGAAGGAGACTCATGGGATTCTTGATCCGCCAACATAGCCGCTACTATGCTTGGCGGAGAGAGATCTCGTCCGATCCGGGCAATCAGGATGTTCCGCGTCCTCCAGCGTATGCTGGGCGGAATCCTGGTCTCTCCCACAGTGGTGGCACTGCGTCGTTGACTCGCGTCCGATCCGATTCAGATTATATTATGGGAGGGCACGGGGTGCCTCTGATGATCCCTGAATTAGATTGATGGTTACGGGAGGGCACGGGGTGCCTCTGATGATCCCTGAATTAGATTGATGGTTATGGGAGGGCACGAGGTGCCTCTGATGATCCCTGAAAAGATTTGTGGCTAAGGGAGGGCACGGGGTGCCTCTAATGATCCTTGAATATGAGTAAGTAAGGGGCGAAGTTGCCTCATGTCTCTAACACGAATTACAAAGGAAGCAGCCTACCGGGAAGACCAGATGGAAAGACGTAGAAGAAGGACAGATGGAGAACAGCAGTAACAAGCGAAGAAGATCGTCGAATTCGTAGAGTTTCATATTGGGAACATTGTAAGGTAAAACAAAAGAATGTAGGTTGTGTATTCACTTAAATATCAGATAATAAAGGACTTAGGCTTTACCATTCGTGTTTGGAGTTCACGATAGGCTTACTTCATATTCCACCCTAACGGCGCGTGCACAATCTAAGAAAATTCGCCGGGTCAATCCAAGAATTCGTGTCGTTTCTACACACGAACTGTGTACACAGCCTCGGCGTCGGACAAGAAAAAAATCTTGTCTACCCCCGGCTCGACGCACTCTGCCGTTATTGTATGGGGCGCATTGTCAGTAAACGAACGTTTATGCGCGTGGACTGGTGTTGCAAAGTACCACTGTTGCACCACTAATTTTAGTGCGACTAATAAAAAGCATGATTTACTTATAAGTTTATTAGAGGTACGACCCATATTGTAGGACAAAACCTTAGAGATTTATAAAGATAAACGACGTACTTTTGAGGCATGGAGAGAAATATTTTTTATTCTATACATATAATTTGCAATCACCTTTTTTTTATGGTAGTCAACATATTTCTTCACACAGTCGGTAGTATAACGACAGCTACCTGGAAGTGCACTGACACGTTTACCGTACACACGTATGCACGAAAGCATTCGTATCGTGTACATACTCATCATTTTCTTGTCTGCAACAGACACGACATATTTTCGTGCCTAGATCCGATAAAATTCTTGTCGTGTAAGGCCATTCTCGTCTTTTCTGTTGCAGACACGACGAATTTCTTAGCGTGTACACGGGCCCCAAGGAATGGATGGAACACACACACGCACTCTCTCCCTCTCTCTCACACTCACACACAAGCGCACGCACAGACACATGCTAACATACACACAATATACACTCTGCATTATACAGACAATAAGTGTTTTTTTGGTTTACAACATAATGTTACATGTGAAGAAAATAAACTATATTTTTATTAAGGAGTAATGAATAAAACGGTTAGTGAAAAAATTGCCATGTACTAATTTTTACTATCAAAGTAGACCCAAAATGAAAAAGTTTAATCGACCAGGAAACAATACCACGTTCTATTGAGGACTTTACTGTTATAGGTTTAGTCTTCTGCTAAATGTGCAGGTGTGTGTAATTGTAACAGAATTGAGTATGTAAAATGTTAAAACAAAAATCTGTCATAAATAATCACAATTCAGTATTACATGTATTATTTTAAACCTTCGGGATGGGCTAAAATGTCAGAGCCATCCTGCCAATTGGTGACAGTTTATGCTAATATGATTGGTTTACCTACTTTATTTATATATTTTTTTCGACATAATTAAAGTAATCACAATTTAATCCAACTATCAAGATATTCCTTTATATTTAACAGTTTAATCAACATCACTTAATTCGTATAGTGAAATATACATATTTGATCGTCACCTATGTATTACCTAGGTTAGGGTGTTAATACTGACTGAATATGACCACTAATACATACAAATTCTTGTTGGTCATATCAGTAGGACATGCTAATAGGTATGACCACCAATAAACGACCCTACTTTCAAATTCTTTGAAAATTTTAAGTTCAGTATTAAAAAACAAATTGCTATGATTGACCTGTGGCTGAGTGTACCAAACAAATAAAACGTAGTAATCTCAATGATATGAGTTATCAACGATGAATCAGTTTTAATAAATTACCCAAATTAATATGACAACTTATTATGCTTATCTTACGACGTAATTTACTGCTAATTCAAGCGTATTGGTCTTAGTAATTCATTGAGTTCGGAAGTCTTTGAGATTTTGAGGCAAATACAAACTAGTAGCAGTAGAGCTCCTTGTGAAAGAGTTGGTCCAGGGAAGTACTGCCACCATACCTATTTCTGCCGTCAAGCAGTAATGTGAGCATTACTGCGTACCGGTTTGGAAGGGTAACCCCCATATAAATTTCAGATTACCACGTATAGTCCAAACGGAGAAGAACGTTTT